ATAGGCATATATCTATTCTTGTTTGGATTCTTTTCCCATATAGGTTATTACAGAGTGTTGAGTAGAGTTCCCTGTGTTATCCAGTATCCAGTTATCCCTGTTGATTATTTTATATATATTAGTGTGTCTATGTTAATCCTAATCTCCTAATTTATCCCTCCCCCCCCACCTTTCCCCTTTGGCAACCATAAGTTTGTTTTCTAAGTCTGTTTCTGTTTTATAAATTAGTTCATTTGTATCAATTTTTAGATTCTACCTATAAATGATATGATGTTTGTCTTTGTCTTACTTACTTCACTCTTTTCTGATAGAAGTGAAAATGATTTCTCTGCTAGAGTTAATCACAAAAGCAATAATTTGTGATTATTACAAATTAGCCATTTAGCTAATGGCTAAACATTAGCCAGTTTTGGATCTAACCTAGTAATCTTATTCCAGCTTTTTTTCATACATAGACACACTCACAGACATATACACACATACCATGATCTTTCATATAATTCTCTGAACCATTTTTGCATTCTTTTGATTGCTAGTAAGTTAAATAAGTCTTTGAAGCATGCTGACGTACTTGGAGGACCTTCATGTTTTTCACTTTTTGAAGTTTATACTTTGATCCTGACAAGAGTTAATTCCTCCTGTGTTCCTTGTCTCTGTCAATCTTTGTTACATGACTTGAAAGTTTAGCACCAATTCCTCCCTTTTTCTTCAAACAAATCAGTCGCCAAATTGCACTGGTTTTCCCTCCCACAGGGTCTTTTCAAGCCATCCCTTCTGCTCTCTTTCCATGACCACTGTCTGAATTTGAGCCTCTCCTTCCTACTTCCAGAACTTCTACAACAGCCTCTACCTGGCTGTTTGTAACCAGCCCAGTCTACACAAGGCTGCGAGAAAAATATCCTCAAGCAAGAGCTCTGGTCATTTCACTTCCCTACTTCGGTGGTTCCTCATTGTTCAACAGTAAAGGAAAGCCCTAGTTCCTTAGCCTGATTTCTTAGGCCCTCCAAAATCTGACCCTCAGTTTATCCTCCTTGACAACACTTTGTCCTTCCAACCTCTGTTCTATGTGCAGTCTCTTTGCTTTCCATCCCATTGCCCCTCTGCCTGCAGTGCCCTCTGTCCTCTTTCTGTATGTCCAAAGCTCAGTATTCTTTAACCCCCAGCTTGAAGCTCTACCACGCAGATCCTTTTAGCTGAAAGTCATTTCCCTCTACTCTGAATTCCCAAAACATTTACTTTGTATTTCTTTTATGGCACATACACTTTGTTTTGTGACCCGGTCTGTTATGTATGTTTCTTGTTTCTGTGGCCTCTTTGTTGTTTTTGTTTTGCGATTCGCAGGCCTCTCACTGTTGTGGCCTCTCCCGTTGCGGAGCACAGGCTCTGGATGCGCAGGCTCAGCGGCCATGGCTTACGGGCCCAGCCGCTCCGCGGCATGTGGGATCTTCCCGGACCGGGGCACGAACACGTGTCCGCTACATCGGCAGGCAGACTCTCAACCACTGCACCACCAGGGAAGCCCTCTGTGGCCTCTTTGTAGGACAGTGTCTGTGGTCCAAATTTGTATCCACGTTACTGCCTAACTGTGCTAACATAGATAAGAGAGCCATGAAGTTTTTTCAGTAGGAGCTGCTGGAAACTTAAAATTTCAACTGAAAAGGTAGCACCAAATTATTTTTTTAATGTTGAAAAATCTCCTCAAATTATATTTTCCCAAACTATCTCTTTTTGTGAACGTTTTCTTTCCTTCATTTAAAAAATATTAACTATATTAAAGGAGAAAACTGAATACTCTCCAAAACGTAAATGAATCTTCCTTTCTTCTATTTAGTGTATCTTTTCTCCATAAATAAGATTTCTCATTTCAATGCAGCAAGTCCCAGCATTTAACTATTCAGTGTTATTTATTCATTAATGAAGCGAAAGTTTTCTGTGTGGCTGCCCTCATCCAAAGGACTCCCTAGTACATTCATCCTATGGTATCTGGGGGGCGACTGGTTCCAGGACCCTCCCTGGATACCAAGATCCTCAGATGCTCTAGTCCTTTATATAAAAACATGTATTTGTATATAACATATGCACATCCTCCCATACATTTTAAATCATTTCTAGATAACTTATAATACCTAATACAATGTAAATGCTATGTAAGTGGTTGCTGACATACAGCAAATTCAAGTTTTGCTTTATGGAACTTTATGGAATTTAAAAAAAGTATTTTCTATCTGTGGTTGGTTGAGTCTGCAGATGCAGAACCCATGGATACAGAGGGCCAGCTGTACAAGTGTTTGTTCATGAAGACCTAAAATCTTCAGTTGGTCTTTTAATTTATTAAGAAACAATAAGCAATGCACATTTTTTTAAACTGGCAGGGATATTAGTGTCTAAATGCTAGGCACCCCCAAATCAATCAGAGCAAAGGAGGTTATGGCACGTCTGCTGTCTCCTACCTAATAGCTTTCATTCCCATTGTGTTATGAAACAGTATTCCTCCACATTTGGATGGATTTCTCACCGGTAGTGTCTGGAGAGCTTCTTACAAAATTATATTCCCAAGACCCCCCCAAATCCAGACACTTTGGGGCTGGATCTCCAAGGAGCTTTATTTTTATCTTCCCAGATGATTCTTCGGCACCCTGAAGTTTGTGAATCACAGGCTACATTCTATCCTCTTCTAAGTTCAAAGAGAAGCAGAGAACCTTTTTAGACTTTCCCAAGTGCACCGTAAGCGAACCAAGAGCGTTGAGAGTCGTCCATTTCTTCTCCTCTCTCTAAGTGTCCTTCGTCTTTGTAACTTTCCCTTAATATTTTATTTTGAAAATATCCAAGCACAGAAGTTGAAATAATTGTGCAGTGGACACCCATGTACTACACCATTAACATGTTATCACAGTTGCTTTATCACAAACCTCTCCTTTCATCCATCTCTGTTCGTTAACTCATCTTTTTTTTTTTTCATGAATTTCAAAGTAAATTTCAGACACAGGTAGTGTCTAATTTGGGATGATGGTGACTTGAAGAATAACAAGGCAGTGAATTCTTGTAGCCCTTGTGAAAGCACAGTGGCTTTATTGGCTAGGATTGGTGGCTGCTTGACCTCAGCAAGAGGTTAAGAATGTGTTTAATCAAAGACAGAAGGATAGTTTGGGCTGACTGTAGATTATCTCCCCGCCCCTCACCCTCACCCCCTCCAGCAGAGTAGTATCTGTTTGTCTCTATTCATTTGAATGGGAGCTTTTGTTTTGTTACTGGGAGAAGAAAGGGAGGTTTGGGGCTGTGGAGAACAGAAGATAAATGTGGAAGCAGAGGGCAGCAGTAACCCCTCCCTTTAACATGGTTTCAAGGCCCTAATGGAGAGATGGGTTACAGGCTGAGGTTGCTGGCTTAGTGGTTAGCAGCAAGGCCATGAGTCAGACTGCCTAGGCCTACATTCTACTTGTCCCTGGGTGTTTGACCTTGGATGTGATACTCAGCCTCTTGATCTTGTTTCTGAACCGAACTTGGGACCTCTTGCCCAGCATGCAGCAAAGCCAGTTTACTGACACTGGGTTGTAGTAGAGGAAAGTACTGCATTTATCGGAGGGCCCAGCAAGGAGAATGGACAGCTCATGCTCAAAAGACCCAAGCACCTTGATGGTTTTCAGGGGAGGGTCTTAAAGGCAACATTTGGGGTGAGAGTTGCAGAGGACATGACTTTCTTCTGATTGGTTGGTGTTGAGGTAACAGGGTGGTGTTTCAGGAATATTTTTTTTTTGCGGTATGCGGGTCTCTCACTGTTGTGGCCTCTCCCGCTGCAGAGCACAGGCTCCGGACGCGCAGGCTCATGGGCCCAGCCGCTCTGCGGCATGTGGGATCTTCCTGGACCGGGGCACGAACCCGTGTCCCCTGCATCGGCAGGCGGACTCTCAACCACTGTGCCACCAGGGAAGCCCTGTTTCAGGAATATTAATCACCAACCTTCTGGTTCCAACCAGTCTGGGGTCTATGTGCTTGTGGTCAGCATGTAGTCACTATCCTCCACCAGCATGGGGGTCTTAGTTCCTGCAGAACAACTCAAAGATCTGTGGTCAGATTATGTGTATATATCCCCTGAGGAAGAACTAGGACTCTGTTTAATCCCTGAGCTATCATTTCTTGACTGCTTTTCTTTTGTTTCTGCATTCCTCACTTCCATAATTAGTAATTGCTTGAATCTGCTCTTGGGAACTCAGGGAAGGCCTCGGAGACTAAAGCCTTTTTCAAAAAACAAGAACTGGGGGACATGGAGGGGCTTTTGTACCTGGGAGGACTGGGTTCCAGCCTCAGTTTTCTCATCTGTAAAACGAAAGTAATGACAGTACCTACATTATATTGTTGTGGAGAAAATACGTGTGCCTAGCATGTAACTTGATCAACTTCAGTTGCTAAAATGAAATTACCTTCCTTGATGAGTATCTTTAAGTTCACACAAAATTAACATATAGGGCTGCAGCAGCTGGTGAACAAAAAAGAGACAAGTAAATGAAACAATTTTGATAATTAAGCCTAGAAGGAATTCAGAGAGAAGCAGGAGGGAGAAATCCTGAAAGTCCTTCAAGAAAACCCATAGCACTTAAAACGAAATCCAATTTTTTCCCTTGCTCTGCAAGGCCTCTACATTATCTGGCCTCTGCCTACATCTCCAACTTCACCGCCTCTCTTTCTCCCTTATTTAACCTAGCCACACCAGCCGTTTCATAACGAGCCGAGCTCATTGGATCCTCAGGACATTTGCACCTGCTGTTCTCTTTCCTTGAGTCTCTCCTCAGATCTTTACAAGTTAGAAAAGAGGTAAGGCCTCGCGGCAGGGGGCGGGGCTCTGGAGGAGGCGGGGCTCTGGAGGAGGCGGGGCTCTGGAGGAGGCGGGGCAGGGGCGGAGTCGGCCGGAAGTGGGGCGGAGGCCCAGGAAGTGAAGGTCCTGGTAGCGGAGTCGGCGAAGTCTGCGACGCCAGTTGCGGCCTTTCGTTGGCGGACCGTGGGCGATGGAGAACGGAGCGGTCTACAGATCCACCACCGAGGCGCACCCGGGCCCCGCCAGAGGCGCCCGGAGCGGCCTCGTCGCCTCCTTCACCCTGCGCCGGCTCAAGAAGGCCCAGCTAATCATCAAACTCCTTCACCTGGTGAGTCCGCGGCCGGGGCGGGCGAGAGGAGACAGTCGAGCGGCTCTCAGCTGGCAGTTAAGAAGCGGCCGTTTCCACATCTCCAGTTCCTTCCCTCTCCGCTTGGGGAGGGGCCGTTCCCCTCGGGACTCCCCCTTCCCGCCGGCGCCCCCTCATCCCGGCTGCCTCCCCCGCTGGGTCCCCGACGGCTACCGAGGACCCCCGAGCGTGTTTGGCGGGCGCAGGAAATGCGTCAGAGACCCAAGTCAGCCGCTTAGACTTTCTCTCCTCCTGTGTAGGACTTCGGCTCTTCTCCCAGCTGTAACTCTGCATTATCTCCCAAAGTGCCTGTATTTAGACTATGAAACGCTTTTTGTTTATCTTTCTCTGGTTCTTGCGGGTTTCCTGGTGCGAGCCCAAGGGGGCAGTTTAATTTGTTGGACAAAGTCTTCCGATACTACACAAGGCATAGAGATGTGTGTCCAATAAATTGTCTCCCAAAAGTTTTATATTGACTGGAAAAGAATTACTTCTGAATGAGCAATATGTGTGTACCAAATACGAAGTCAGAAGGACAGCATTTTGTGTGTGTTGTGTGCAGGTAGCAGAGCGAGGGCATTCTTTTTCAATGTCGCTGAGTTTCAGTTTACTTTGGGCATTGGTTAAGGACCTTAAACCTACTACTGAAAATATCAAAACATTTTTGAGGTTTAAATTTTAAGTCAGACTACACACATGTTAAGCTCCTATGTTCTGTTTTAACGAATGATGGGTAACATTTTCTGCAAGAGGAAAACTCAGACTGTTTATAGAGAGTGTTTATGGGTTGGGTTGGTTTTTTGAACCAACCAAGTGAAAATAGCCAGTTAGTTTCCTTGGAAAAATCTTAAGTTCTTAGAATTCAGGTAACCAGTACTTATATTCTTAGAACTCAGATGACCTACTTTTATTGGATAGAAAAATAGTAGTCAGAAAACACACAGTACTTTTTAGCCACCAGAATGATCACTTCTGAGAATAATTGGGGAGTCACTTGGAAGCAAGTGGCACTGTGGCCTGTGGAACCCAAGGTTCTGGCTCTATCTCCTTTTAATTCCATACTGGCAACCTTTCTGTTCTTACGAGGTGTCATCAGCTCCCTCCTGCCGTTGTTCCTTTGCATGGGCGGTTCCTTCTTCCCAGAAGGGCTTCCTTCTGCTCTTCCTCTTGCCAGCTCTCAGTTGACTTTTAGATATCAGCTATGTTTCTCTGCCTTAGAGCTAAAATGTTTCTACATATATAGTAGAACTCTTTAGAACAGAAAAGGGTTAATATTCATCTGAAGCACTCTTGCTGCTCAAAAGACATCATCGATTCTGGTCTGTTGCCCATTAAATCTGCTTTTAGTTGCCTTTATTTTTCCTTTCTAATCAGAACTGGCAAATCTAAAGTAAAATTTCCCATTACCTTGTTTATAGTTTAGTAAACTGTAGTTCCATATCTTCAGAATAGAATACAGCCAGAAGTTTGGATAGACTTTTTACGTGGATGTGGAGAGGAGAGGAAGATGAGTTTGCCTTTCGAGGGTTGTTAGACTATTCCTGCTTGTTCTCCATCATCCATAGGAGAAAGGGTGAGAGAATAAAAACTGCCACTGCACAGCTTGCGGGATCTTAGTTTCCTGACTCGGGATCGAACCTGTGCCCTCCGCAGTGAAAGCTCGGAGTCCTAACCACTGGACCGCCAGGGAATTCCCTCTGTTTATGGGGAACTTGTAATGTTACAAGAACACTTTCTTTAATATAGATTTTTTTAAAAATTTCATTATTGCCTTTCATTTAGATGGTTTTCTTTTTGTTCCTGCTTTGTCTGTTTTAATGTCTTACCTCTTCACAACAGTATATTATAGGAGTTACCCAGAAAGTCCCAAGGAAGTTATATATGGAATAAATGAAAACTGTCATCCAGCCAGGGGCAACAGGCAAAGTCTTCTTTGCCTTAACTCAAGCTCTGCCTTTAAGTTGTTTTACTTTAGATAACTTATTTTTTAATTAAATAGAATTGGAAAGCTCCAAGAAGGAAACAGCCGTAGTGGAGAAACCCATAATCAAAATAGGAGGTACTTTGGGCTTCCCTGGTGGCGCAGTGGTTGAGAGTCCGCCTGCCGATGCAGGGGACGTGGGTTCGTGCCCTGGTCCGGGAAGATCCCACATGCCACAGAGCGGCTGGGCCCGTGAGCCAAGGCTGCTGAGCCTGCGCGTCCAGAGCCTGTGCTCCGCAATGGGAGAGGCCACAACAGTGAGAGGCCCGCGTACCAAAAGAAAAAAAAAAAAAAAGAGGAGGTACTTTAATAAGAGACCTGCAAGCCCTATGACATTTTATTCAAAATATAGTGCATTTCTGTGTTTGGGTACATTATTCTAGACCCATAAATCTTATCAGATTCTCAAAGACCCCAAAAGGGAAGTGAATCTTATTCTAAAACTTAAAAAACACTGTGTACTTAGGAAATTCTTAGAGTCCTAGGAAGTTGCATTGCATTTCCTCTGAGGTTCTTTCCACTCTTAAGATTTTTAGAAATCTCTGAGGCTCTGTGGGATGTGCTTGCTGGTACAGAGCTGAACACCAAAGGGTAGATAGAGAACGGAGCCTGCAAACAGAAGGGGAGGTTAGAGAGAAAAGAGAATAACCAGTTCTTGAGCTAACATACTCTGGGAGTTACATGGCTCTGTCTACCATTCAGATGTGACCTTAATTTTTTCAAAGGCTTGTCCATCTGCCCTTCCAGAGCTGAAGAAAAAATAGAGACTCAGCTGAGAATTTACCATAAGGAGTCATTGCAGGTCTAAATTGATGCAGTCACTTTATTAGTTTATTCTACCCTTAGACTGGTCCTTATGCCCATATTTTATTTTGTGACGTTTTTGTTATTGTTATTTTTGAGGGAGTTTGTTTTTGTTTTAAGGGGAGAACTGACCTTTGGCAACCTAATTCCTTGCTAGTAAACTGGTGCAGTGATCTAAGTATGTGTGATATTCTCTCTGCCACAAGCCAACATTGTGTTTATGGTACGAATTGAATGTCCTGAAGGCTGCATAGTACTATGATTATAATGATGGTACCAATTGAATGTCCTGAAGGCTGCATAGTACTATGATTATAATGACTTCTTTTTTTTTTGGCTGTGTTGGGTCTTCGCTGCTGAGCGTGAGCTTTCTCTAGTTGCGGCGAGCGGGGGCTTCTCGTTGCGGAGCACGGGCTCTAGGCACACGGGCTTCAGTGGTTGGGGCATGCTGGCTTATTAGTTGCAGCAGGCGGGCCCTAGAGTGTGCGGTCTTCAGCAGTTGTGGCACGTGGGCTCAGTAGCTGTGGCTCGCGGGCTGTAGAGCGCAGGCTCAGTAGTTGCAGTGCACGGGCTTAGTTGCTGCTTGGCATGTGGGGTCTTCCTGGACCAGGGATTGAACCCACGTCCCCTGCATTGGCAGGTGGATTCTTAACCACTGCGCCACCAGGGAAGTCCCCATAATGGCTCTTCAGGCAAGCAGTTTGATTTAGAATTCACCAGTCATTTAAATTTATTAAATTATAAATATTGTTACTCTGTAAGTGCCAAGAAACAGATCACTTAGAAACAGTTTGTATTATGTTGGTGCTCTTTTCATGATTTAAATGTGAAAACTGTTAGGTACTAAATTGAAATGCTCTGTTTTTACCTTGAAGAAGATCTGTAATGTCAGCAAATTATATCTTCGAACCTTTGGGAGAATAAATGTTTGCCGAAGGCAAGGGAGGCTTACCTGATCTCAGGCTGACTGACTTGTTTACTTGAACCTTATGTATCACTACAAGGTTTTTAATAGCAAATTCAGAAATTCACAGACTAATATAATTGTGTAGATGGAGCCTTATAATCAATAGCAAATATTAAAAAGTCCTTTTCATGGGAAGTTTTTTGGTGGTAGACTGCTAAATGATGGAGAATTAGTATGTACTATGATGACTGTTAATTTTAGGGAAGACTGAAGTTTCAGAAAAGGTAGTGAAACTGAAATGGAGACACAGGGTAGTCATTATCTGAATATTTAAGTCACCAGAAGTGTGAGACCATCTTTAGTCACTAAGACTTCCCAAGTGTGTTGACCCTAGCACATTGGTTTTAATGTATGATTTAACAACAAAAGGGGAAATGCACAAAACTATGGTTGTAACTTCAAAAACCCAACTTACAGGGAAAACCTACACAAACATACATAGTCGTAAAATGAACTTAATAAACAGTGCTTTATGGGGGGAAACAAGTACAGAGTGGGAGTTAGGAGACCCGGGTTCTTGTCTGTGCCTGGCTGACTTGGGATTTAGTCTGTCAGAGCTTAAGTCCATCAACTGTAAGCATGAGGCTGTGAGACTTTGCTCTCCAAGGGCTCTCCCAACTCTAAGAGCTTGATAATTCCCTTAATTATGTTTGGGTAAAATTTTGTCATTAGAAGGAGCTGCATTGGGTGTATGTACTGTTGTTAGATACTTAGCCTAATATTCAGTAAGCAATCTTTAGTACATGCCTTTGTGCCATTGAGAGCAAAACTGTTTGCCAGAAAGTAATCAGTGAGCCTCTAAATTTATGGGTTGCATTCACCATTATTTCCGTATGCAATTCAGTGACTTTATCTCTTTTCCAATCTTTAACCACTTTGGTATTTAATGCTGGTGACCACACATTTCTCAAACTTCTTCCCTTAACTTTCACATCTTTTTTCTTTTTTAATACAAAAAAGTGTCTGCTTACAAATATAAACATAAATATATACGATTACTTACATATATATGATTAATAAAATAAGCCACACTTCAGCCCTCACACCACTCACACACTCCGCAGCATCATTGTTAGATTTACAATTTGGAGGAGTGTGTTTACTTCCTTTCTTTGTTTTGGCTGCACCATGCAGCCCCCTACATTGGAAACACGGAGTCCCAACCATTGGACCACCAGTGAAGTCCTTTTAAAAATTTTTTTATTTATGTTTGTTTATTTATTTATGGCT